GGCAAGACAAGGCAGGTTTATATCATCAGCAAATCAAAAACTCCTTTCTTTGGCCTATGAGAATCCCATAAGGGGGTATGTTCGCTCCCACAATGTGCAAGTCAAAGTTCGATCCCAGTAAAGTGTGTAGGAAAAGGGGGGATAGATGGGGAACGAAACGGGCTGGGCAGTGGGAAAAAAAAAGATAACAAATCAGAGAGAAATTGAAATTCAAATGAAACATGACAATGCCCCTCGAGGGCCATAGCCTGGACTGGACAATCCTTCCCGGTTTCCTAACCCTAATTGTGTCCCGACCAAACCCATGGATGTGTGATGATGAGGTCCCTTCCGTCTTGATGCCGAACGATAACCCCGATGATGCTTATCCGTAAAGTTTGTGCGTAACAGCTTGATGCAGCCTGGCCTTCAGCCGTCCCATCCAGTGATGGACTTGACCCGAACCAGCGAGGATTTCTGATGTGACCAGAACGTGTCGCTGCCAGGTAGCTCTCCTATGCCCGCGGCGGTTCTCCCTTCTCCAGTGTCCGCCTTCTGGTGGAGCGTGCCTTTTATATCTCGTACATGCGTTGAGTGAAACAAACGAAAGACTTCTTCCTCTGAACTTCCATGCCGTATTTTTGTTTTGGTTGGCGGGTGCTGCGGGATCAACCGAAACCATTCGCGCTCTCTTCTGTGCTTTTGGGCGTTTTCTCTTTTGGGGTCAACTCATGCCATGCTCCCAAGACTCAATACAACGTTTCCTCCCCATCCATCAATCGCTAATCGCTGTGCCAGTAAATGTTCCATTCTTTCGCGAGAACCGTGAACCCGTTGCCCAAAATCGTCAGGACGCCTCGTGAAGGCATCGCCGAAAACGTCGAACCTAAGAACTCCATCCTTAAGTCGTTGGCGCTGGGTATTTGTTGTCCGAAGGGCATGAGACCAGATTCCCCCAAGTTCGTCTACCATAGTAAATGTCCGTTCCACGCGCCATGCTGAATGAAAATAAAGAAACCCAAACCAAAATGAATTGGTGAACGAAGGAAAGATAAGGCCGGAAGGAAGCCTCCACCGTACTGCAGCCTGATACTCGAAGTTGTCGAGGGTTGAACGCCCACTGATGATGTGTTTCTGAACTTCGTTGAGAACATGGACGAAGTAGTCAAACATAACTCCAGTGCTGGTGACTGCGGGAGGCCAATGCAGTCAGGCCCGTCAGGGAAGAGCGAGTCAGAACCATGTGATATCGGGAAAAGAGGAAAAAACTCAAGTGACTGATGCCTGGAAAATCAGATGCCGATGTAAATGCGTATGCGCCGAGATCTTCACACAGCGCCGTCCTCGATGCTGTCCAAGTATCTTGTGGCTTTGCCTTGTTGCCGTGTATCCACACTTGAACACCGTAACGCCAGAACTCTCGCCATACTGCCTCTGGAAGTCAGACAGGCAACCTAACATAACTGCATGCCTTACCTGCCAAGCATGTGAGGTGGCAGGTAGTTTGAGTTGTTTCCATTCATCATGGAACCAGGCCCACCAGCAGTCATGGTATTGCTGTTGTACCCGTTCCACACGTTGTTATTACCGCTTGCTGAGAAGCCAGCAACTGCGTAAGGTGGTGTGCCCGAGGAGCCGTTACTGAATCGCCCAGAGCCAAGACCAGGTGGTGCTGAAAGTCCTGGAGGAGGACCGTTGGTGGTCTTGAACCCATTCGTGGAACCTGTCATCATGCCGCTCATTGGAGACGTTGATTGACCTGGAGTCTGACCCGACCTGACTCCCAAGGGGTTCTTCGAGAAGCTGAGGCGAATTCCGCCCTTTACGCTATTGTGAAGCGGATGTCCGTAGAGCTCATGGAGGGCTTTGGTTGCAAAGGAAACATCCTCGAACTCCACAAAACACATGGGCCCGTTTTGCTTGGTCCGGAAGCAAAGCCTCTTGTAGCCCCGTTGCTTGGAGAACATGGCCTTGAGCTCTTCCTCAGACGTGTCGATAGGAAGGTTGCCCACGTAGAGAGTGTTGCAAGGTGGATTCTGGTCAGCAGGATTGACCGGGGGGAAGTTATGGCGGCCATAAGGACCAGTTCCCATATGGAAGGGTACAGTATGTGGCCCCCCGCCCATCACAGTGGGTGACATGACTGGGTGAGCCGACATCGCTGCCATTCCTTGCTGACCGTACTGCGGAAGCGACGATGGGCTTGGTGTTGTGCTGGTGGTGTTGAGGGACAGGCTCGCCAAACGCGATATGGGCAACTGTGGGGCGGTGGCTCTTCTCTGAGCCGTAGCTCCGTTTTCCGCGTAGGCGACTGGGTCCTTCAAGAGCTCGCCGGTCTCGTCATCATCAGCCGCATCATTGTTAATCAACGATTTCCCAGAGATGCGTGTCCGTTCTGTGAGGTGATTTCCGATAGGAGACTGAGGCGAGAACAGGTTCTGGTAGTGCGCGCTGGACTCTGGGTTGGGCAATTCGCTGGAGCCGTATATACCATTCATAGGTGGCGATATCTTTTCGAGAGATTGGAATCCGCCGTTGAATCGTGATGGTTGTCGCGAGGATGGGGCTGAAGAGGCCGCGGAGGATGCAGTGCTCGACGATCCGGTCCCTGCGGGTTCGGCGTACCTTCTCGACGTGGTTGGGCTGCCTCCAAGAATCTCGACAATCATATTGGCGTCGTTAGAAATGTTGGATTTCCCGTTTAGCATATTCTTTGTTTCGATTGCCCCATTCGTAGTCCGGAACTTCAGGACGGCCGAGCGGAATCCCTTGTCTTCTGATTGATCTACGGGGAGCACTTCAACGTCAACAAGCTCTTTGGACCAAACCACCATGAGTCGAAGCGATTCTTCCGAAGTGTTCAGCGGAAGGCGACGAATCAGAACAGAGGCCGCCACAGAAGACGGGTTGGCGTATGGCGTTCCGACAGGCATAGCCGCATCGCGCTCAAAGGGGTTGACGGACGAGAGGAACGGTGCCTGGGTGTTGGAGGGCCTGAAAGGTTGCGATTGTTGTAGAAAAGCCGGCGCAGCCATGGCAGTGGTTTTTTGGGTGATAGATGTTTGTCGTTGTTGATGTAGGAGGATTGTCGCGACTCGATGTCATCCCCGAAGGTTGAGTGCGGCTGATGAGACTGTAAATGCGCCTGGTTCACCTATGGTTGCTTGTCATCCGCCGGTGTTGCGGTGCATGCGCTGGCGCGTGGTGCCTTGAAATGCCTCGGAACTGCGGCAAAGAGAGGGAGGATTGCAACAGTCGCGCAGCTCAAGTGGGAACTCTTGGAAGCGCGTGCGAACAAGAATGCGGGAAAATGGGCCAAGACGCGGTGAAATTATCGGGTGATGGTGTCGATTTTCGAGTGCGCGACGGGAGGATACAGGGCGACGAAAGAATGTTGCAGAGAGCGATATCGAAAAGTTGGGGGGGTTGGACAGGTTTTGGGAGAAGGGGGGGAGAAGTTGGAGCGTGCGGGAGGAGTTGTCGCAAGGTTATGTATCGTGCCTTAAAGTTCGGGGAGGAGGAGAGAAATTGAGCAGGGTAGAAAGGTACCGGGAGGGAGTGGTGGCACTGATGGCAGACAAATGGATGCAAAGGCAAGGTGTGATGGTGGGAAGTGTGTGGTAGGCGAAGTATGAAGTGGTTAAAGTGAGAGACGGCCAGGAAGAATGGTGTGCGCGCCTTGATGGGTTGAGTTGAGTTGGGTTGAGTACGGCGCGGTGCGGTGCGTCAGGACAGCGGGTATGGATGGAAGAGGGAAGGGACGGGCTCCTGGCTGGCCTGCTTCGCTCCAAGAGCATGGGGGGACTCAGGGAAGCAGTGTAAATGCAGGGCTGGTTGCGTTCGACAGTCGGGTAGCCGTAGCTCTCTGGGAAAATGGGACGAGGTGACTGAGACTTGGGTACCGGCAAGTGGTAGGCACGCAGCAGATGACAGGCCAGAGCAGGTCGACTTGCCGGGGCCCCTCGAAGCTTGATGGTGACAGGTACCCAATAGGACTACACCCACGGGATGGGTTGACTCGATGATTAAAGTCGGAAAACGACTAAGCCAAACTCGACAGCACGACTACCGTGACGGGGGGTCCCTCTGGCGTTAGACTGCTTGGGTCCTGGTCGGCAGGACAGAAGAAGCTGGGGGCACAATTTTGTTTGTGAGCCTGCCTGCGCGAAGGTGAGAGAAGAGGGGTCGTAAAAGAAAAAGCGGGCGGAAGTGCGGAAAGATGTTGCAGGACGGCGTCAAGGTCGTCGGTTTATCGTGGGGTTTGGCGGCGCAAAGTATCGAGAAAAGGTGGCTTGTAGCCAAAGTCTGTTGGGCCTGTACCTAGGGGAACCCAGGGAATTCGCTTGATGATGGGAATCTGGCGATGTGGAGGGAGATGCGAAGTACTCCGTAGTGTTTTGGTACAGACGTGAAGTACCCGGCTAGTATCGAAAAGCCAGTGAAGCGGAAAGGCTGCAGCTGGGGCGCTGGGAGGGTGTGTGAAAGCAAACTCGGTCGGTCGCGGTGGCTGTTGGGCCTAGGGGCGTCGACGGTGGTTCCTCTCAAGGTGGTGGTTCTTGTTCGAACTCTTTTGGATTGTGGTCCAGTCCAGTCCACCACTCCAGTCGCGTTTGGACTTTCTGGACTTTACTCCTCAGAAAGTGGGAGTGGAAGGGATGGACAAGGGATGCTCGTGCTGTGGAGGTCTAATTGCGCCGCCGCTGGAGCACTCGGGAGGGACGTATCGTACCAATCAGAAGCCGATCGCGTAAGGTGGGAAAGCGTTTGGTGTGGGCTAAGGCAATGCTAAGGCACGACCTGGAAGTGTACTTTCTGTCTACTTTGCCTGGTGGGGAGGTGCAACCACCCTGACGAAGGTTCTGTGTAAGTGACTAGCCTGTCGCAGTCGTAGATGTTGTCGTCGTTGAGAGTGCGGTATTCGTACAGACAGGCAGCGATTGCGTTATGTCTGCCTCGCCCAGAGACACCTGTGAGTGGCAGTCGCCGATTCGACACTGATTCTTTAAAGAAAACGTTTGATATCAAGAGTAGTTGGCGAATTGCGTCGACGGCTTCTGCGCCTGTGCTTTTGCTGTGGCGCTCGTTGGGTGTGTGCGCAGCGAGTGAAGCTGGTCTGGTGGGATGGAGGGCGCCAGTGTCTGCTTTCCAGAGGGACTGGGAGCCGTGGGAGCAAGCCGCAGATGAGAAGCGGGAATAGGAGAAATGCTGAGGAGGAGGAGGTACGTGTAGGCTGTCCTTTGGCAGCTAGGTTGGTGGTAAGTGTTGTGGAGGTTGCGTGCTCGTGGAGGTGTGTCTTTGATTGCCGTAGCAGCAGAGGCAGGTCGAGGTCGAGGTGGGAAGCGAGGGTGATGTAGGTCAAGGACTCTGGGTCGAGGTCGAGGAGACGCAGCTTCTGGACTCGGTGGATGTGGGAGACGGAATTAACCTGGAGGCTAGCGGGCGGGCGAACGAGCGAGAGAGACAAGAGAAGGGAGGCCCCTGCCGGTACGTCTTCCTGTTAGGCCGGTTTTCTTGGTGGCACAGCCTTTAGAGGGGATAACGGCGTCAGGAGAGTGTGCGGATTGGTCCAAGGTGGTAGTAGCGGTGCGACCGGGCTCAGGGGTCTTGTAGACTTTCGGCGATCGTTGGCACCGTTTGAGGGCTGGTGCTTGCCAGGAGGCGCGTGTGGTGGATGGTAGTGTCTCTCTTTCAGATATCGGCATGGGCTGTCGTCTGTCTCTTGTCTTGCCAGTCTGTCCGTCTGTGTCTTTGGGGGGCAGAACGGTACGGAGTAGAAGGGCTGCGCGTGTGTGCTATCGTCTGTGCGTGTGTGCGTGTAAAGTGCGCGTAAACTGGAAGTGCGTGTGTAACAACCGTGCGGGCCGAAGGTGTCTGGTTCTTTGTCTTTGTGCGAGGTGTGTATCTGTAACTGTGCGAGCCGGGAGTACGAGCGCGGTCGACGTCTGCCAGAGGTAACGTCGAGGGACAGGAGGAGTAGTGATGGTGTAAATCGGGCGAAGAGAAAGGAAAGGAAGAGACTCGAGATACTACTGTGGATTTGCTGGTGACTTCAACAGTATCTGAATCTACCCGTACCCGGATTTTTTTTTCCCGGTAAAGCGGTTCGGTCAAGTGGTTCGGTTGAGCGAGGAGAGAGACAAAAGTAAGGTGAAGAAACGACTGGGACGGGAATGTCCAAGGCAATGTAGGGGAGGTATGAGGGTTTAGGCACGGTGAGCAATAATGCGGAAGACGTAAGGTACCTTCCTCACGTTAGGAAACGGAATTGGGAATGAATCGGCCACTGTTGGACGGTCGCACTGTCGCACTGTCGCACTTTCCTTCAATGTTTCTTTCCCTCGACTCCTTCCTGCCTCCGCACTCACGAATACCTTCCTTCCTGCCTCTGAACACCGTCACTACCTAGGTAAGGTAGCTACGGATACCGTGTGCTCCTGCCCTGGGAGCATTCGTACCTGCCAGCACCACATAACCGCATGGTACCTTCCTTCCCTCGCCAATCTGAGTTGGACGTGGGAGGCAGCAACGACAGGGTGGGGTCGGCCTTTTCGAAACAGGAAAAGAAGGAACAACGCAGATTGCAGATTCACCTTTCCCTCCCTCCCTGCTCAACGTGCAGAACACTGGGAGGTTGAAGACCTACCTGCCCTGGTGACGGGAAGCACCTGTCACCAGGGAGCAAAATGCCCGTACCTTGGCCGATACCTGAATGGGAAGGGGGATGGGAATGGGAATAGAAAGGAAAGAACGAGCCGGCCAACATTGCACTGTACGAGAGTCATATCTGCAACACTGTTCACATGGAAGTGTCTCTCTTGCACGTTGCAACTCCATCTGCCTCCCTTCACGTCTCTATCGCGTACTGCGATTACATACCTAGGTGGAATTCAAGCTTTGCGTGATGTGCCTTACTTTACGGATACCTCGACTACCTACCTACGTACTTCGTCTGTTTCTTGTGAAGCTTTTGTTTTGTCATCTTTTTTTCTTTTCTTTTGGTATTATGCTTTTTGCTGTTTGCGTCAAGCAATAGTCAGAGAAGGAAGGGTTGTGGATGCACGTGTGGAAGATAAGGTAAAATTCGATCAACGGCATCCCCCCCCCCCTCCCTTATAACCCCACGTTCTAATTGCACGACGACTGATACTTTGAAGGTACTCGATGCTCAATTCTCGATGCGCTTCGCTACCATGCAGATGCCGGCGCACGCATCACCAGAATTGTCCCTGAAGAACCAAATCAAATGATGAAGAAACCTCTCGAGTCCGCCGCACCAGGCCAGCATGGCCAGCTGCATCGTAAGCTGCCGCCGCTGAAACCTAGGAGGATCGAGAACGGGGTCATTGCATGGGGCTAGACAAGTGTGTGCCTCGCCCTCGATGCGCCTTTGCAACCGCTCGGGAGGACGGACTCAAATGTCGGGTGAAATACCTACGCAGTATTTTCTGCTGCGCGCACTCTGCCCCTCGCGCCTCGCGCCTCTTGCCTCTGACATGGACTTGTACGGCACCACGATACCGCTACATCATACATCTGCCTCTGTTGTGCCTCTTTGCACGCCGAGGGTTGAACAGAGTCCTAGACAGCCACCATGACTCCAACAAATCTGTCGGCCCTGATCTACCACGCGAGACCACAGACCAGATGAGGCCATGTGCCCATCACGCCGGTCAGTTGGCGGAAACCAAACCAAGCTGCATAGAACATTAGCCTACTAACCCACTCACCTTGCCTTACCAGTCCGAACCCGGTACTCATACGTAGTGATACCCACCATTGTCGACAACAGTTCCGTCCTAAAGTACCTACCGATACCTCGTGTGCTTATCCACCAGCCCAGCAGCATGGGGCAAGGAACACCGCATCCGCATCCGCGAAGCAAGGGACCCGACCAGACCCTCAAGCCCGTGCGGAACTGTGATAGCGTGGACCAGGACCTGGACATGGGCAGCTGTCCACACGGGGTATTCACTTCGTTTCTGTATCTGTAGGGCTCTCTACTCCCCCTCCAAGTGTTTACCTGCGCACAAGGCCAACAGCTTTTTGCGACGCTGACAAAAGATGGTGTCGACGCCAGCCCTGTCACCTACACTTCTTTTCGATGAAACCCCTTGGTACTGTCAACTGCATCGCTGCATCATGGGCCGTCATCGTGCGTTCGCCGTGAGGCACTCAAAATACCCTCCACATTGGTACATTTGTGGGGGGAGCTGCCAGCTAGGTACCCGTAGGCCATGTCTGGCCAAGGTTGGAGGGTACGTGCACTTTCTCGCTCATGGTCCTCGGCGCCCGACTGCCAAGATCCTTGGAACCGCCGGTGATATTCGAATTGCCCTCACATCTGGTCATGCTTTCTGCCCCAACCCGTCAACGTTGTATAATTTGACTTCTGGGGATTCGAGTCTATGCCGCGCCTTAGACTCCAGACATCGTCAGCCCTCCTGCCGGTACTCAAAACATCCCTCACCCGTTCCCGCCTCACACATTCTGCATGCGCCGAGGCGCAAGCCTGCTGGTGCCGTCAAATGCAGATAATCAAACTTCTGTGGTGAGACCCCCCGAAACGCCTTATTAGCAGACCACACATATATCTGCAGGCAAGATATATAGACGCACCCTTTGGTTACAGGTCCGATATGCAGTCAAAACTTTTGCGCCTCAACATATCGCTACGGTCAGAGTATACGTGAATGCAGTCCAGCCAGGAGTTTGAACGTGTGAATGTCAACTGCCAATCGCGATGCTGGCCGTCATGCCGTCGAGGCTGCCAGGTTGTCTTTTAAGCGTCCGCCAGGAGATGGATTCGAAGCCAACCCAAGTTGAAGGAGGCTATGGAAAGCATTTCTCTATCCATCAAACTTGAAGATGGAGAAATTGGTCTGAAACGCAAAGCAACGTGAAGGGTTTATCTACAAGGTAATTGATAAGTTACAGGTAGTGTGGTTTCGATAAGGTATGACAGCGATGTAGAACCCCCCAGACCATGATCTCCTTCAAGCGCTGCGTTGAGCACCCTCTATTTTTCTCAGCCTGCAGATGGGGCCTGGGAATTGTGGCGTCATTCCCTCTTCCTTGGACATCTCTTTCGCTTTAGATTGCTGCGTTGAGTTTTGACAGAATGTCCCGGTACTGCTGGCTGACCGGTTCAAGTAGTCACCCACACCGACCATGGTCGGTCTCCCACGATGACGCTAAAGTGAGACTACGGCTGCCCATTGGATTGCCGAGCAAGCTCCGATTTTCCGGCTGTCAACACGATGCCACTCTTTTCTAAAACTCTCCGGCCCGGTGGTTGCCTCTGGATAGGCCGGGCGGATGAATGCAGTGGATCGGTCTTCGCCCCGAAGCAACTCGTCCAGTCTCGACTCCACCAACTATTCAAACATTGCTCCTCCCTGTGGCAGTGCGCCTATCATAGGGCACCTCCGAATCCTTGTTGTCCTGCGTCTCTGCTTGTCGCTGATACACTCAAAGTCCGAAGATATTCAAAGAGAGCCCATCGTGTCGCAAGCACATGCTCTCAACTAGCCGATTACCTGCAGGCTGGTACAGGCACATCGTGCATCTGAAGATAGAGAGACTTAATTCGGGTGCAAGTCGCAAGGTGCACGCACGTAAAGTCGGATTCCGCTCACTACTCTGGATCAAGTTGGTGGACTCTCACGTTCCCATTCTTGTTATACGACATTTTCAACCGGTTAATCCCCTCTGGCCTGGCAAACCTGACACGCCTGGGTAGTCAAATACAGTTTGTACGACAGGACCTTTCTTACCCAATGCAGACCTAGCCTCTCGCTTGCCAGCTCGTTTAGGAACGAAGCTATTCTCTGGACCGCGCTTATCCGTAGGGTCAGCACGGGGGAACAGGAATTGGGCGAGCTGTAGTACGAAGAATGCATCGCGACAACCTACCCTAATGAGATCCTTGCGTGAAGAGAAATTCTCCGACCAACACTGGAGGCTGATCCAATGACTTTCATCATTGTTTGTCGTTCCACTCTCATAAGGATGGCTAGACTGAGAGCGGTGGCTGCTGCCATCATCTCGAGATATCGACTTTCTTCAACACTCTTTAGCCTCCTCTGGCAGCTGCCTGCTCGCAGATTGGCGAGTATGACCAGCTCGTCAGTGTAAGTCTGCCTGGTGTGCTACCAACATACTCGATCGACTTCACCACACATTCTCACCACCATCAGAAGCGAGCAACCCATTAGCATGCGGCGCAACTTGAACTCTCTCACAGACATAAGTCATCAAACTCACGGATACAAGTCGTTACAACTGCAATGAGAGGTAGACGATGTGCTAGAGGTGCTCCCTAGCTTGATTGTTAGACCTTCCTCTCAGAAGCATCCAAAGCCACAGCTTCCTAATAACAACATGGTTCTCTGGGCTTCCTCCGGAAGCTTGCAGCACAGGCATTTACCGGTAATGTACAAGGACCTGATCACAATGCAGAGCCTTGCTTTCTCGCCATCTTCCTTAGTAATATTCCGTGGTGTGTCTATAATACTTTACACAGTCACGCGTTTAGTGTTTGAGTCGTTTCCGTACCGCAGCCCAGTCGACGTCTGCGACCCAATGCTCTCTGACGCTGGCTTCTGGTTTGTCCCGTCATCCGCTCGCCATCCCATCAACAGCTTGAGAGACCAGCCCACCCCCCGATAAAGGGGACAACGAAGCTGCGTGGAATGTCAATTGT